TTTTCTTCCCTTTTGGAACACAGGTTCATGGGCTGAATGTCAGGGCCCCGCCAGGAAAAACGGGCATTCAGGCGGAAGGGGACGATGGAGCAAGACAGGAGAGGCTAGGGAAGGAATAACTGTATCTGAAAAGCCACACTTAGTGACTGCTCTGGCCCCGGAGAGAGGGCCAGGGTGGCGGGCAAGAGAGGACCGGCTGAGTGGCTAGTCTCGGGCTCCAATCTTTGGACAAAGGCAACTCTCACAGCCCTCAGGCTCCAGAATTCTCCTGAGGGAGGGGTGTTAAGATCCCCATTTAGCAGATGGGGAAACTGAGGCTCAGTGAAGTGACAGGACTCGCTCAAGGTCACACAGCCAGGAAGTGGCAGAAACTGACCCTGAACTCAAGGTGGAGGTATTTCCCAAAGTCTGGGGCTCTTGGTTTCAGCACCAATGGGGGGGGATTTCGTGGGCAGGTGGAAGGAAGAGCAGAGAAGGGAAAGCCACGCCGCTGGCAGAGGCGGTTTGGGGAGGCTGCGGGGGTTGGGGGAAAGGGGAACAAGTGGATTGACATTCCAGACCTCAAACCTGTTGCGCCTGAATGCCTTTTCCTCGCCCCTGGGGTCCTCCTCACAAGGGCTGGCGTCAGAGGGACAAAGGGAGCAGGTTCACGGGAGTCCCTGGCCCGCCGGGGCGCCGCCAGCCTCAGTGGCGCTGGCCTGGATTCGGGGTGCCTCCTGGTGGCCGAGGGAGGCACCAGAGGGCCCTTGGAGCCCACCTTCCCCCAGTCCTTGCCCTTCCAAGATTCCAGATAAAGGTTAAACGAGAATTTCCCAAAGAGGAAGAAATCATGAGCCTCGCGGACATATAAAGACGGACCCGTGTTAAAACGTTTATTGAGGGGCGCCTGGGTGGCGCAGTCGGTTAAGCGTCCGACTTCAGCCAGGTCACGATCTCGCGGTCCGTGAGTTCGAGCCCCGCGGCAGGCCCTGGGCTGATGGCTCAGAGCCTGGAGCCTGTTTCCGATTCTGTGTCTCCCTCTCTCTCTCTGCCCCTCCCCCGTTCATGCTCTGTCTCTCTCTGTCCCAAAAATAAACAAACATTGAAAAAAAAAAAAACACGTTTATTGAGCGCATGTGGGAAGCGGGCAGATGTTCTACGCGGTTCAAAAGAGAGTCTGGAGAACAGGCACTTTTACATATCAGACTGTTTACCCAAATCCACGTGCAGATGGGGGCAAACTGTTACTTTCCACAGGGGAGGAGGGTTGTCAAAGAAACCTCTCCCGGACCGGATGGGATTTGCACGTCTACAGATAAGAGTGGTTTTATAGTGCTACCAATTGCTTACAATTTACAGAGCTGAGAGTTCAAAGACAATGCTATGAATCACATTAACCCGGAAGGGTGTGTTGTATAGAGATGATGCACTGAATAACCAGAACTGATTCATTGAAATGCAAAATTTTCCTTGCAAAAGAAAAGAAAAAAAAAAAGAAACAATACATTCCTTCCTTCCTTCAATGAACACCTACTGTGCACCGTCCTAGGTGTTGGGAGACTCAGCAGTGAACAAAGGAGCAAAGGAGAAAAGTCTGGAGCGGAGCAGAGTGACCACTCCTGGGGGCCGAGAGGGGCTCCCGGAGGCGGCATCCGGGAGGTGGAGGGAACCACAGCAGGAGGCAGGACGGGAGACGAGGGGGCGGTGGCCAGCCTGAGGTTTGTTTTCTGTTCTCTCCACTAGAATGCCAGTTCTCAGCTCTGCCTAGCTGTGCTTGGCACACAGTAGGTAGACAACAAATGCCCGGCGGGCAATGTGGCTTCCTCTCAAAAGGCAGAGCCGCTTGCTGTCTGCTTAGGGGATAAACCACCGTGCTGTGACCAGATGGCAGGGGCGCCCAGGTTGCCCAAATGGGGCTCAAGGTGGGGCGTGCCCCGAGGATCAGACTCCCAACCTCAGGCCGGCCCTCCAGCCTCCAGCCTCCTCCCCGCCCCCCCCCCCCCCCCCCGAAACCTGAGCGCTGGATCCGGGGAAACCCCAAACTAGTCTTTCCATCAAATTTGGGTCCTGTTGCCACAAGTCCCAATTTTTCTTTTCTTTTCTTTTTTTTTTTTTTTTTTGTAAAGTAGGCTTCAGGCCCAGCGTGGGGCTTGAACTCATAACCCTCAGATCAAGACCTGAGCTGAGATCAAGAGTTGGACGCGTGGGGCACCTGAGTGGCTCTTGGTTTCCGCCCAGGTCACCATCTCTCGATCGGGGAGCCTGCGTAGGGCTCCAGGCTGACGGAGTGGAGCCTGCTTGGGATTCTCTCCCTCTCTCTGCCCCTCCCCCACCTGTGCTATTTCTGTTTCTCTCAAAATAAAACTTAAAAAAAAAAAAAAGAGGGGCGCCTGGGTGGCGCAGTCGGTTAAGCGTCCGACTTCAGCCAGGTCACAATCTCACGGACCGTGAGATTGTG